GCGCTCTTCCTCGCGACGGGCGTCGGGTCGGCCGCTTCTCGCGCGGCGGCGCGCGCGCCCGCGTCCTCGGCGCACTCCGGGGCGAAGGAGACGCGCGAGAAGATGCGGCCGAGGAGCGATCGCCCTGTCACTCCCGAGCGAAGTCTTCGAGGACTTCGACGGCGCTCGCAAGTCTTCGCCCCCTTCGTCGAGGGCAGCAAATCCAACCCGAGAATGGCCGCCCCGACGCGCGAGGCGGTTTAGTGAACGCACCCAAAGAAGGAATCGAACAGGGCAAGGCTGTTCAGTAAACGCCCAAGGCCGTCTAGTAAGCGCCCGCTGTCCGGTCTGGGTGGTTTTTCCCCCCTCGACTTCGCTCCCGAGCCGAGTCTTCGTCTTCTTCGACATCCTGGGGCCGCGCTCGTCGCGGCGACGCATCTGGCCCCGGCGCTGACGGACGCGCCGCGAGAGCCGCGCGCCGAGGCGTCGCCACCGAAGGAACCGCCGGGAAGATGGGGGTGACATTGGTCGACGTGGACACGCCAGCGCAGGGCCGCCGGGGCGCCCTCCGAGAATGCGACCGCAAAACAAAAGACAGGCCCCGCCAGCTGCAGCGACGCGAGCGCCAGCGAAGGCAAGGACGCTCGAAAATGGCGCCTGGGAGCTCCGCCGTGGAAAAAGACGCGCCTGTTGTCATTTGGAAATCGGCCCCCAGGCGACGACCTGGCACGCTGGCCTGCCGGGCAGTCGTCGATGCGATTCGACGCTGGAGCCGAAGGTGACGGAAGTGAGCTTCTCTCGTGCAACACCCAAAGTTGGCCGCGTCTTGATGGGGGCCCCTTCAGTCTCAGAGACCTCCCGCGGGTTTCGGCCAAGTTCTGCAGTGGCGATGGGCATGGCGGCCAGCCCAGCGCCCCGTCGCCACGCTACTCTCGACGTCGATGGAGCGGCGAGCAACCTGGCGTCCGCGGCCGACTGGCGCTGCTTACCTCCTGGGAGCCCGACAAACAGGCTTCGGCCGAGACGCGCCGCCGCGACCGCGATCTTCTTGGAGGCGGCCCACTGCGGGCGGGCCAACGCGAACGCACTTCAGGATGAGCTCCACTTGCCTCTCGCGCAGACGGAGCATGAAGACGGAGTCGGGAGCGGCGAGAGCAGCGCCGCCCTTCTCTGCGCCCAGCTGGGGCGAGACGGCGACGACACCGCAATCGCCGAGGCGCTGGTCGCCGGGGCGAGCCGCGTCAACTGAAACCCCAAAAGCCGCGTCGAGGTTGGGGCGTGCGCGAGGCGGAAGGCTGATGGAGACGCGATTAACGCGCGTGGCCTTCTCCTCATAGCGGTCGCATCTGGCGGGCCCACCGCTGCCGAAGTTAGACGTGGCCGGAAGAAGCCCACGCGGGCGGACTGGCGGCGCTGCGCTCCGCCAGTGGACAGCGCGACACAGGGCCTGGGCGCCGCGAGGGGGGCCGTGGATACTGAACCCGCCCAGCGAAACGAAGGCGAAGCAATGCGGGGGTCGGGCAGCCCGCCTCTGGCAGTGCAACCGGATCACGCGGGCAGCAGGCCTTGTCCTGCTGGGTGAATTTGAATGCATGGGCGCGGAGTAAGGCGACGGTGAATTTCTCTCCAGTATCACAGTGTTCGACCAGTTGGACTCGCCTTGGCGATGAAGCACGATGGATGGGCAGACGAGCAGCTGGGGCAAGGATGTGTCCCAGGAGGCGACGGCTGCAAGCCAATCCTTTTGCCCGAGCCCGACCGGCTGCTGTCGGCGCCTGCAAACTCCGAGGAACAGGGATTCGAAGAATCTGCCCCGTCGCCGCGGGCTGCCCCCACCCCGGGCGATGCTGAAGCCACCTCGTGGAATGGTCGAGGAGCAGGAGGCCGCCGACGAGGTTGGAAAGAGGGGCCAATGGCGGCGCTGTTGCGGGCGAATTTTGAGAGCGCGCCCTTCGCCCGCCGCCTGCCCTCGCCGATGTCGCTGGCGAAGGAGGCCGAAGAGCTTGGCGAGGAGCTCGAAGAGCTCGGTGGGGAAGCGGGGCGAGGCCTAGAACGGGTCGAGCACGAGAGACTCCAGCCACGACGGGCGCCAGAGACCGCGCGCTCGTCGGCGATGACGAACACCCCCAATGTAGAATGGGCGGGGGCCAGGAGAGCGACGCCCCAAATGCCGCGCTGAGAAGAGCACGTGGTACTTGTGGGGCATGCTGCCCACCACGGCTTCGTCGATATTGACGGAAACCTGATTCGTTCGCGCTTGATTCAACGCCACCTGCGCGGGCGATTACGATGCGTTACCAACCTTAAGATCAACAAGAGGGACCCATGAAACTGTAACGCTGCCTTGGGGTTTGTGCGTGCGAGATCCCAACTTCGGATATCCGGTCTGGAGAAGCCGGCGAAGGCGAGGGGTCTGGATCTCCCCGCGCACTGGGCGAGGGCTGCAGTCACTGTTGGTGCGAAGGGGGGTGTCCTGATCCGTGACTGCCTTTTCTCCGAGGTTGCGCCGGCGACCATATGGGCAGAGTTCACGAACGAGAACACTGGCCCGGGGCGCGGCAACTGCACGGCCTACGTGGAGGCGGAAAATAAGTCGACGACCAGGAACTGTACCAAACAACATCGCTTAACTTTATAGTCAAAGGCCGCATCGTTGAACCACCGTTGAATAACTTCTTGAACTGCTAGTGGGGGAACCGAGCACCGCGGCCCCAATGGAGAAGACCACGGGGTGTGGACTCCTGTCGAACTCGGCCTCGTCTGCAAGATCCTGAACGGGGGACTCTGGGCTTCGGCTGTGGCCAAGATCTGGTTGATCTCGTAGATGACTGTGCCATGGTTCTCCTGCCGCTTCTCAATACAGGCGGGCGATACGTCTGCGAAGCGTTGCAACTGTCCGTAACGTCATGGCGTGCGAAAGTGGCCTCTCCGACGCGCTGTAACGAAGTGTGCGGCAACACGACCTTCGGTCAGTTTAAACTGCTTCAGGGCGGCGCCGACATGAAGCCATCGGCAATGATTTTCTGAAGATCAGCGCTCGAAGAACCTGCTCCTCTTTGTCAAAAACGGACGGATACGCGACCTGGAGCGGCAATCTGTGGATGACCTGCAGCTTGTTGTGCATGGGGTCCACGTGACTCTTCTGATGGGGAAGCCACGGCTTCCTTCCGTGCGCGAAGGATCTCTTCATCTGCTCGCGTCCGGGATCATGGGGTGGTGGTTCAGGTGGAGCAGGCGGCACGTACGGACCTGCGGCTTCTCCAGGTGGATGCTGTGGTGGACGAGGAAGGAAGGTGCACGAGCTCGACGTTGCCAGGGATCCCGTCCTGCTCGGCAGGGGTCACGCAGTCCATGGCAACCAGTTCCTCCAGCGCGTAAAAGGTTCATCTCGACGTCCTTCCCGATGTGCTACTGCTCGCGATGAGTCGTCGTAGTGTTTCATACGTCGTCGTCGTTTTTATTTCGGCTGGTTTCCTTTACTGCGCCCACTTCGGACATGGCTTCATTTATGAAAGGGGGAACCATCTGAGCAGATAGAGGCCATGGGGGGTTCGTCCTCCGTGGCAGCGGTCTGGGCGGTACCGATTTCGCACAGGTTGGGTGCAGCAGCACACAATCGACCTGGAGGTTGCAGAACACGATGTTGCCAGGTCCCACCAACAATGGTGGACGTGTGCGTTATGGAGGCGTGGCGATGCCAGGGCTTGGGAACGCATGGTGGACGTCAGCTCGCCCCTGGAAGTGGCTGCCAAGGTTCTGCATGCTGGCCGCGGAGTAGCGGCAGTATCCACTGTGCGCCCGAACAATTTGTTTAAGCACATTTTTTCCGAACCCTCCCTTCACGGAAGCTTCGGGAATCAGGGGTACCGCCGCAAGTCCCTGGGGACCTCAGGAGCGGACCTCCGCGAGGAGGAGGAGGAAGAAGAGGAAACGGAGGAAGAGGAGGAAAAGGAGGAGGAGGAGGCAGAGGATGATGAGAGGAGACCGAAGGGAGGAGAGAAGGAAAAGGAGCAGGAGAGGGAGCAGGGAGCATAAAACATGGATGAGGGAAGGAGGAAGGGGATGACGACGACGATGAAAAAAAGAGGACTGGAGCAAACTCAGCAGCTGCCACATATGTTGCAACACAACCTCCCGCCCCAAGATCGCACCCTCGCACTGGGAAAAACTGTCCACCACGGTGGCCCGCTCATGCTGGGAGTGTGAGAGGCCCGCGTACCTGCTCTGCGAGGCCCCGAGGCAGCTGCACCTGGGCGTGCAGCTCAAATCTCCCATATCGGTATAAAACTCAGCTGCGCCATGGTACGGAAAGTCGCGCTTGAACGGGAGCCACCCTCCGTCCATGCACCCGGCCAAACCATGCAGAAACCGGGCGTGCCGAAGCGCAATCAGCGCGTTGCAACATATGGCCGACCGCGGGAACCCTGAACCGAAAAAGGCTGCTGTCTCTTGTGGGTGCACTGATTCTTGAGCGGGGTCCGACCGTCCCGGCATTCCTATAGTCCTACCACGAAATGTTCTGAGACCCAAGAATGATATTAAAAACGCTATTCTTAGAACGTAAACCCGATGTGATAAAACAAGACAGGCTCCGCCTGAACTTTTCTGGGAGCACGTCGTGAAAACCCCTGAGGGTTCTTAGAACTTTGGGTGGGGGGACAGGCACGCCGGGACGCTTCGTCACTGCTAGAAGGAAAGGGCGCATCGTGAGGGGCCTAAGGGAAAACCAACAAGAATCGGCGCGTTCGAAAAACTGCATTCCGAACGGAGGGCCCACTGACGGGTGCGCGCGCAAGAACTGACATTGAGCCCACCACCCCGTTCTTGTTTCCTTTTTTCCTTCCATTTTTCCAAACACTGCGCCCAGGAACCTCCAGGGAAGGACGCTTCGTGAGGGGCCTACGAAAACTTCAACCGAAATCGGTGCACTCGGATTCGTATATTCCAAAGGTGGGCCCACCGACGGGTGCGCACGCGGGCTCGGACGGAGAGGCCGCCCCCCCACCCCCGCGCGCCCCCGCCCCTGCGCAGGCGGCACTGTGAGAGCGGCGCCCTCGCCCCCCTCTGGGGCATGGGCGGCCGCGCCCCTCAGCGAAACTCAAAAGGACTCAAGAAGGCTAGACCGAGAAGCAGCGCGGGAAAGAACAGAGAGCAGCGGACCTGCAGGTCTGAGGCGGCCGCCCCCCGCCCCATTCACGCACCCATTCGATCCCACGAACTGGAAGTGCATAGTGAGGCTCGGCCAGAGGACCATCCCGTCAAGGGAGTGCACATGGCGGCCGCGCGACGCATAGGTGGGTGAGAAGTCGGTGAGGTGGATGCTATGCTCAGGGGCGGAGCCCTCCAACATCACCCCCACCGTCATCACGGCCGAGGCCGGAGATACTCGTCGCACCCATGAGAGAAAATAATGTGAAACGCCTGCGGCCACCAGAGAATGCGAGGCAAGCCTCCGCCCGTCTATCTGTTAGTTTGTGGCGCGGCTCATCCTCTGACGCTTGAACACACTCGTGAGGTGTCCATCTGGGCGAGCCACTTCTTCTTCTTCTTCGGCTTCTTGGGGGCTGCCTTCTGCTAGTCATTTTTTTTCTGAAGGCGAGCTCCTCTATCTGCTTGGCCATCGTGGAGCGCGGCGATCGCGTCCCAGACGCACGTGGGCGGTCTTGAGCGCGCCGTTGATCCTGAGGACGGTCAGCGCCAACTTCAGGTCTTGGGTGATGATTGACTGCCCATATCCAGCGAAATTGGTCCTCTGCTCCTTCTGTCAACTTGACCTTGAAGCATCTCGTCGCGCGTGCGATCACATCCATGTCCTGGGCGATGGCCCCCCCACTGCTTCTGCACCTGCAGAGCGTTTGGGACCTGCTCGTGGGCCTGGCCGTTCTTCGCCGCGTCCTCTACCTCATTGGCGTTGCCCACGCAGGCTTCGGCGAGGCTGAAGGTCACGCTCCTTAGGAGCGCGACTGTTTTTTCCCCAACAGGGTGTCCCTGGAAGTTCTCGCCTTCCCGCGCAGCCTTGCATGTCACGATGTAGTTCTGGAGGCCTTCCCCCAGCGCCATCCCGAGCTTCTTGCCGACCTTGAAGGTGAAGTTGTCGTCCCTCGCGTCTGCTTGGTGGGCTGCCTCGTGCTGGAGCAGGAGGCGGCACATCAGGTTCTGGAGGCGGCCATTGGGCTTGATCTCGTCGATGTTCGACGTTTCCGTCTGGTCCACTCCCTCGGTCTCGCTCTGGCGCTTCACTCCCCTGATCTCCGCTATCGGCGCGAACATGGTGAGGCAAGGGAGCAAGAACATCTGGGGCAGGCTGGTCGGGTGCTTGGCTCACAGAGGCTCGAACCGAGGGCAGCAAGGGCGCACGACAGCTTCCACTGAGTACATGTCTGACGAGGGTGTCTTTTCGGCTAAATTTGTTCCCACACTTCGGGCACACCAGCGAACGTAGCTGTTTCTCTGTGAGGTCCGTGGGGTTCGCATATATTTTGTGAACCAAAAACATGTGGTTGGCAAGGCCGTTGGGGCCATGGCACATACGTGAGCATGTCGGGCAAGGTAGTAGAGCGTCGGGTAGGGAGCACATGCTGCAGCGACTCTCTCCTCGTCATCCGTGGCCGTTCTCCTCACACTCTTGATTCTAGCTCTGGGAACGCAGCACAACCACCGAAACCATGGACGAGAAGGGCACGGAGGAGTGTCCTGGAGGTCGTGGGCAACGCGGGCTTCTTGTTGGGCCTCAGGGGGAAGGGTCCTCCAAAGGTGTCCGAGGTCGTCTTGAAGTACTCCCAAGATTGAGTTTATCTCTTTGTGTTTGGGGCCCTCGAAGTTGAACCTGCTAAAGACTACTGCTCGCACCATCTTCGTGGGGTCGCACTTCGAATCCACGGGGGGCTCGTAGGGGTCCTCCTGGGCCAGGTCCTCCCGAGGGTGCTTCTGGAGGTCGGGGAAGGCGGGGCGCAGGACACCTTGTCACCAAGCAGGACGGCGCTCCAAAAGAGTAGAGGCTACAGTGGGTACACCCGTTCGTTGGCGGACTGCTGCATTACTCTCATCATGCACGTGCGCGGGCGATCTGGCAAAGAATCTCAACTTTCTCGCCTGCCAGCTCTCGAGGCGAGCCACATCACGCTTGAGAAGTACCGCAACCTCCAGTCCGTAGAGTGCCGACGAGCGGACCAGTGAGCACCACAGCCGAACTCTGAGTTTGACACTGAACTGCCCCTTGAATGCACAACGGGCGAGGCGGGCATGAGCAGCATTTCCTCCTTGGATCCTATGGGTGACTTCCTCGACCATCGTGCTGTCGTCACGTTGTTTGGCCCCCAGGTGTTTCACACTCGAGGCGGCACCGATCGGGGTCCCGTCCATGGTAGTGTTGGTTTGTTTGGAACGGATCGTGGATTTGAGAGCTTTGCTTTTACTGCCGGCCGTGACGATGAGCAGTTCAGTGTTCGTGTCGTTCACTTCCAATCTTCCCTTTCGTGATCCCGCGTTTCAGGACCCATTCTTGCTTCCGCCAGCTTCCGACGGCGACACCGGCCTCGCTTCACTCCCGCTGGCTTCCGCCGCCTTCCGCCGAGGAAGAGGATGACAACTCCTTCGATCCTCGAGGGCGGGGCCCTCTCTGGAGCGCCTCCTGTGCAGTGCCACCTGCACAGATCCCGACGTCGGACCCCTTTCCCCAGGACCGGCTTCTCATCCTGAGTAGTTTTTCCCAACCATCCTGTGGTGTTGGGTCCTCGTTTTGAAGAGACGGTGCCCCGCGTCTCCTCCTCCCGCTGCCCCCTCCCTCCTCCCCCTCCTCCCCCTCACTGCTTCTGCTCTCGGCACACCCCTCACACGTTTCGTAGCCCCATAGGGAGCTCCACCGAAGGCCCCAGTGGTTGCTCTCGCAAGCAGTTCCCCCACCCAGGGCAGCGCTTCGTGGCCCCATAGGGAGCTCCACCGAAGGCCCCACTGGCTGCTCTCGCATGCAGTTCCCCCGCCCAGGGCAGCGCTTCGTGGCTCCATAGGGAGCTCCACCGAAGGCCCCAGTGGCTGCTCTCGCATGCGGGTCCCCCACCCAGGGCAGCGCTTCGTGGCCCCATAGGGAGCTCCACCGAAGGCCCCAGTGGCTGCTCTCGCATGCGGTTCCCCCACCCAGGGCAGCGGTTCGTGGCCCCATAGGGAGCTCCACCGAAGGCCCCAGTGGCTGCTCCCGCATGCGGTTCCTCCATCCAGGGCCGCGCTTCGTGGCCCCATGGGGAGCTCCACCGAAGGCCCCGGTGACTGCGGCCCCATAGGGAGCTCCACCGAAGGCCCCAGTGGCTGCTCTCGCATGCGGTTCCCCCACCCAGGGCAGCGTTTCGTGGCCCCATAGGGAGCTCCACCGAAGGCTCCAGTGGCTACTCTCGCATGCGGTTCCCCCGCCCAGGGCAGCGCTTCGTGGCCCCATAGGGAGCTCCACCGAAGGCTCCAGTGGCTGCTTTCGCATGCGGTTCCCCCACCCAGGGCAGCGCTTCGTGGCCCCATAGGGAGCTCCACCGAAGGCCCCAGTGGCGCAGCTCGCACGCGGCTCCCCCACCCAGGGCAGCCTTTCGCGACCCCATAGGGAGCTCCGCCGAAGGCCCCAATGGCTGCTCTCGCATGCGGTTCCCCCACCCAGGGCAGCGTTCGTGGCCCCATAGGGAGCTCCACCGAAGGCCCCAGTGGCGCAGTTCGCATGCGGTTCCCGTACCCAGGGCAGCGCTTCGTGGCCCCATAGGTAGTTCCACCGAAGGCTTCAGTGGCGCAGTTCGCATGCGGTTCCCCCACCCAGGGCAACGTTTCGTGGCCCCATGGGGAGCTCCACCGAAGGCCCCAGTGGGTGCTCTCGCATGCGGTTCCCCCACCCAGGGCAGCGCTTCGTGGCCCCATAGAGAGCTCCACCGAAGGCCCCGGTGGCTGCTCTCGCATGCGGTTCCCCCGCCCAGGGCAGCGTTTCGTGGCCCCATAGGGAGCTCCACCGAAGGCCCCAGTGGCTGCTCTCGCATGCGGGTCCCCCGCCCAGGGCAGCGGTTCGTGGCCCCATAGGGAGCTCCACCGAAGGCCCGCTCCAGTGGCTGCTCTCGCATGCGGTTCCCCCACCCAAGGCAGCGCTTCGTGGCCCCATAGGGAGCCCCACCGAAAGCGGCACCCACAACGCGTTACGAACAATTGCTTATGGTTTGGTCCTTCGCCAGGGTAATTGTTACGGTCCCGAGGCTAGGTAACCCTGACCTCCCAGAGTGCTAAGAAATAGCCCTCCAGACCTACAGGCCTATCTGGACTGCCTAAAACCCCCGACAGGAATTTAGATGTCGAGGTCCTGGTGCTAGTTTCTAGCCCTCCTGGAAGGTCATGGGAAGGGTCCCAGGGGGCTCGAGAAACAATGAAACTCCCCCCCGTCGAGATTGTTTCGTGACTATCGAAGGGGTCTGGGTGTGTGGCGCTGGCTATGTGGCGCAGGCTTCGCCGTGCAGGCTCTCTCGCGAAGGCAGCGCGCGAGAGGCGACCAGAGGGTCGCCCACGGCAGGGCGGCCCAGGGAGCACACGCAAGGGCCCGTGCAACGGGCCAGGGAGAAGACGCAACAACCTGCAAGAAGTTCATTGGAAAGGGACACTCCCAGACCCCCATCGAGACCTCCCTCCTCCCCCCTCCCTCCTCCCACCTCCCTCCACCTCGTCCTCCTCCTCCTCCTCCTCCGAGGTCCTCCTACTCCTACTCCTACTCCTCCTCCCCCTCATTCTCCTCGTCCTCCTCCCCCCTCCCCCCTACCCCCTCCCTCCCCCATCCTCCTCTCCTTCTTCCTCCTCCTCCTCCTCCTCCTCCCTCCTCCTCCTCCTCCTCCTCCTCTATTCTTCCTCCTCCTCCTCAACTTCCACCTCAACTTCCTCCTCCTCCTCCTCCTCCTCCTCATCCCCCTCCTCCCCTTGCCGGCCCTCGGGACCGTCAAAGCACAACACAGGATGAAAAACCGGCCCCGGGGAAAGGGTCCAGACCTCTGGGGGGTCTGGGGTTCTTGTCCTTCAAGGGTGTCACAACATGTCCGGATTTCGGATCATGGAGAAAGTCTCTGGCCAGGGACGTAATGAAATAAGAAGAGGCGCCATGAAACCTGGGAAACATCATGGCCCCCGCCACGATATCCACCCCCCCTAGTCACCACCCCGCTCTTTGCCGACCCCGATGCTTCTGCCAGGGGAAGGCGGAAAAGGAGAGAGAGCAGAGCAAGGGGGGAGAACTCGTTCTGCCGGCCTCTGCCAGCTGACCCCCCGAAACGAGCTCGTCGTGTACAGCGCCGGCATTCCGTGGCCAGCTGCTGCGCACGACGAAAAATGAACAGATTCTGGCGCGGAGAGGGAGGACGAGGGGGAGGACGAGGGATTAAGACGAGGAGAGGGGAGGGAAGAGGGGAGAGGAGGAGGAGGAGGAGGAGGAGGAGGCAGATGTCCTACGATGTTTGAGTCCCGATGTGATGAGGGGCCCTTAGGGGAAATTTGGGGCGTCCAGGATGAGGAGGAGGGAGAGGAACTGAGGATAAATTAGGAGTAGGACGAGGGGGGGGGAGGGAGATGAGGGGAAGGAACCAGGAAGAGGAAGGTCAGCGGGAGAAGGGGAGTCGGAGGAGCACGAGGGCGGAGGGAGAGCATCAAGGAGGCAGGAAGAGAAGGAGGAGGAGGAGGAGGCAGGAAGAGAAGGAGGAGGAGGAGGAGGAGGAGGAGGAGGAGGAGGAGGAGGAGGAGGAGGAGGAGGAGGAGGAGGAGGAGGAGGAGGAGAGGGAGGAGGAGGAGAGAGGAGGCGGAGGAGGAGGAGAGGAGGAGGAGGAGGAAGAGGAGGAGGAGGAGGAGGAGGAGGAGGAGGAGGGAGAGAGAGCCGAGGAGGCAGAGGAGGGAGCAGGAAGGAGAGGAGGGAGGACGGGGGGGGGGGATGGGCACGGGGAGGGAAGAGAAGGAGAGGGCCTGCTGAGGGGCATGCGGGAGGAGCAGGAGGGAGCGGCCAAGGGCACGGAGCGGCCGGCAGGGCAGAGGAGGAGGCGCCAGGGCTGCCGGGCAGCCGCCACGGGGGCACGGCCCGACCCGCACGCGAGGCGGGCCGGGCAGCCCGCCGCGCAGAAATGTCAGCAGCGTGCACGTTGTGTTGCCTCCCATGCCTTGCCTCGATAGGCACAACTCGGTGATGCGCCCTAGATGTTCCAAATGTTGTGCGGGTTCTCGCCTTCTCGGGCTTCCGACGTCCTAAGACGGCCCAAGAGGCCACCAAGACTACCCCAAGACGGCCCAAGAGCCCCCCAAGAGGGCCCCAAGACGGCCCAATAGGGCTCCAAGACTGCCCGCGAGGCGCACAAGAATACCCGAGAGGGCTCCAAG